ATAAATAATATATATTATATAAATAAATTTTGTATTTTATAAATTATTCTTTTTAACCTTATTAATAGTACATTAAAACACATTAGAAATTATTAGGCCATTTGGATCTTCTATTTTGAAAAAATTGTGAGTTTTTTTTAATTTCCCTTCAAAACTGGAATTCACTACTTTTTGAAGTAATCCCTGCATTTTCCCTAGCAATCCAGTTGCTTTAGCCAGAAAGTAAGGTTTTCTCTGTTTTAACTACTGGTTTTTAAAAAGTTTTATGTACCATTTAAAATGAGGTCAATGTTGCACTTCTAAAATGTTATTGTGATAATGATCTAAGAAAATATTTAAAATTTTTTCATTGCACTAAAAAGTGCTGGTCAATGAGTGATATGAGTTGATTACATAAACAGTCGGTTATGGGAGATATTTTAATTACAAAATTCCAACTGAATAGTGACAACATTGTGCATTTGGAATCAATTTTAAAGATTCAGCATGCACATTAATTTGCTTTCTTCACATCAAAGCAATACTTGAAATAAACAAAAATCTATGGCAATTAGTAAATATGTAGTTTTTAAAAATGTGCCATCCTTGTTGCTTAGCAACTATTGATCTTATTATGGGCTTTTTACAATAATTAAGCACAGGCACAAATTGCTATCTACTTTTTGAATGCTAAAAGCATTTATGAAGTTTATTCTAATATGTGTATTATATATTTGTAAAGGGAACATTTCATTCCTACGCAAAGGCACAGTGACCCAAGAAACAGATGACAATGTCACATTAGTGATTCTCCTTTCTCATGAGAGGACTTTTAGAGAACTTTTTATTCATAGTCTCAACAGTGAACACAGCCAAGAATTAATAATCATTCTTTGGCTTTACTGGATTTTGACTTACTGCTAGCTAAAGGGTAACATTTTTAACATTATTAACAAGAAGTCATGTGCTCTAAACAAAGTGAAATGGCCATTTATATTATAGAAAATTATATATGCCAAAAATATATTTTTGATATAATAAATATATTAGAAAGAGATCATGGTCTTAGTAAGGATGTAGAGGATTTATATAGGGTTAGTTTCACCATCAAATTGACTTAATAGGATATAGCAAGAACATAAATGCTTTTATGTGGTCAGATGCTAACACTAACTTGTTCTACTGTTTGTGTTACCCCCTCATCAACAGGGTACAGTGAGCTTGAATACTGGAGTAGATCATATAGAGATTCTGCCTCGGGGGAGTGCATCTGGGACCCTCCATGGAGTGTACACATGGAGATGGGGAATTTGTACACACCAAAGGGAGGAAAGTTCACTCCATTTGGCTGAGAGAAGGAGCTTAGAAGTTTGAGAAGAGGGAAGGATTGCTGGATGTCTACCCCAATTTTTTCCAACAGTGAAGTTTGAGTCAAAGATGAGACATTTATAATACCTCTTGATCTATATCAAGAAACTTCTCTCCAAATGGTTGCTTTAATCCCAGCTCCATAGAAGGGTGAGAGATTACTTCACAAAGACCTTTACCACAGTGCCAAAATCAATCTACCAATTGGATGGGTAAAAAACAACCTCTCATTATTTTAATTTGTATATTTTGGATTGCTATGTGGGTTGATCATCTTTTCATATTTTAAAAATGAATTGTTAAGAACAGCAGGAGTAGGTAAGAGCAGATGAGCCAACTGAGTACACCAAGGCTAGTAAAAATTAGAAAGAATTAAAGAGCACAGGCCTCCATAACTCCATGCTCTTGTGCCTCCGTTCCTCTTTCTGCCATCTTTCTGGGCCAAAATGGTGGTGAGCGTGAATGTTCTGGCCGATGCTCTCAAGAGCATCAACAATGCCGAAAAAAGAGGCAAGTGCCAGGTTCTTATTAGGCCAAGCTCCAAAGTCACTGACAGGTTTCTAACTGTGATGATGAAGCCTGGTTACATTGGTGAATTTGAAATCAATGTTGACCACAGAGCCTGGAAAATTGTTGAGAACCTCACCTGTAGGTTAAACAAGTGTGGATTGGCCAGCCCCAGATTTGATGTACAGCTGAAAGATCTAGAAAAAATGGCAGAATAATCTGTTTCCATCCCACCAGTTGGGTTTCATTGTACTGACAACCTCAGCTGGTATCATGGACCACGAGGAAGCAAGACGAAAACACGCAGGAGGGAAAATCTTGGTATTCTTTTTCTAGGGATGTAACAGGTGCATACAAATAAAAGCTCAGTGGACACACACACACACCCAAACAAACAAACAAACAAACAAAAAAAACAAAAACAAAAAACCCCATAGGCCTTAGAGAAGAAGGAAACAGCCTGTGCTGAAGAAGAAGACACTTATAGCAACTTTATGCCATGTTCTCAAATTTTATTTTTGTGCAGATGGAACCATTGTTACAGTGCTCATTTTTATTATAGCCTGACCATGCACCGTGAAGGGCAAGGGAAGGAAAATTGATTTATAGAGGCTGGTACTCATTGAGTATCTCTGAAGACTGGAAATGGAAGTGACAAATTTAGAATTGATCTGAGACAGCAACAATATTTAAAAGGTTTCAATCTGTGAGATGGCAAAATGGGGGATTTCTAAGGAAGATTTTAGTTTTAAGGTGACACTGCTTATTACTCAAGGTCACAAGTTATAGGATCCAGTGTCCAAGGAGAATAGTCTGACAGTGAACAAGATTGTCAGGACTCCAGTCAAACAATCTGAATCTAGAACTGGCCAGATCCTGTTCTAGAGGAAAATATAAGACACAGTAAGAAAACCAAGACAGAAGACCAGTGCTAAGCATTGATACCAGTTGGGAAGGAAAGGAGTTCTGCAGGCTTCAGCTCAGTAAACAGAATAGGGCCAGGGGTCAATCCAGGACTACTGGAAACTTATGGGAGGGAGAGGATGGCTGTTGCCTCAATGACTAAAACTGTACATGCTTGAGAAGGTAGGGACTAATAATTTTTAACTGTTATTTAATGAATATAATTTCCAAAGTACAGCTTATGGATTACAATGGCTTCCCCCCCATAACTTCCCTCCCACCCCCCACTCTCTCTCCCCTTCCAGTCACATCAAGATTCATTTTCAATTCTCTTTATATACAGAAGATCAGTTTAGTATTTATTAAGATTTCAACAATTTGCATCCACACAGAAACACAAAGTAAAAAATACTGTTTGAGTACTAGTTATAGCTTTAAATCACAATGTACAGCACATTAAGGACAGAGATCCTACATGAGGAGTAAGTGCACAGTGACTCCTGTTGTTGACTTAACAAATTGACACTCTTGTTTATGGCGTCAGTAATCACCCGAGGCTCTTGTCATGAGTTGCCAAGGCTATGGAAGCCTTTTGAGTTCGCCGACTCTGATCATATTTGGACAAGGTCATAGTCAAAGTGGAAGTTCTCTCCTCCCTTCAGAGAAAGGTACCTCCTTCTTTGATGACCTGTTCTTTCCACTGGGATCTCACTCGCGGAGATCTTTCATTTAGGGTTTTTTTTTTTGTCAGAGTGTCTTGGCTTTCCATGCCTGAAATAGTCTCATGGGCTTTTCAGCCGGATCCAGATGCCTTAAGGGCTGATTCTGAGGCCAGAGTGCTGTTTAGGACATCCGCTATTCTATGAGTTTGCTGTGTATCCCACTCCCCATGTTGGATCGTTCTCTACCTTTTTAATTCTATCAGTTAGTATTTGCAGACACTAGTCTTGTTTATGTGATCCCTTTGACTCTTGGGACTAACAATTTTTAAATATCACTTGGGGGCAAGTGTTTGGCCTCATGGTTATGATACCAGTAAAGATGCTGTGTCTCATCAGGGTGCTGGCTTGAGTTCAATATCCAGGTTCCTGACCCCAGCTTCATGCTAATGCAGACCTTGGGAGGCAGCAGTGATGGCTCAGGTGACTATATTCCTGCTACCCACATGGGAGACCTGGATTGAATTCCTGGCTCCTGGCTTTGACCTCGGCCAGTCCCAGCTGCTGCAGGCATTTGATGAGTATATAAGTGGATGGGAGCTCTATCTCTGTTCCTCTACTCTCTGCCTCTCAAATAATATATAAAATACTATTTATATTATTTAAAATTATGGAATGAATATGTATTTATTGTATGTATTTCAATTGCTTTGAAAAATCTATGCAATTTTTTTATTCTCCAAGAACAAATATTTCTTTTTATATCATAACAAGCTAAATCTAAATGCTTATTCAATTTTAATTTGCCAGGATAAACATTTTCAAATCTTCATAACTGAATAATTTTAAGTCATTTTCTATTCTATTACCTTTCTATAATATAAGAGAGGCAGAGAAGTTGTAAGAATTAATTATTTTCTAGATTAAAAGAATGAGATCAAAAGTAGATTCTAGACTTGTTGGGAAAAAAACATTTAAGAGTAAATTAATATTTAAGAGTAAACATTAAGGGCCAGCGCTGTGGCGCAGGGGGTTAACGCCCTGGCCTGAAGCGCCAGCATCCCATATGGGCACTGGTTCAAGACCCGGCTGCTCCACTTCCAATCCAGCTCTCTACTATGGCCTGGGAAAGCAGTGGAAGATGGTCCAAATCCTTGGGCCCCTGCAACCATGTGGGAGACCCAGAAGAGGCTCCTGGCTCCTGGCTTTGGATCAGCGCAGCTCCAGCCATTGTGGCCAACTGGGGAGTGAACCATAGGATGGAAAACCTCTCTCTCTCTCTGCCTTTCCTCTCTCTGTGTAATTCTGACTTTTAAATAAGTAAATAAATCTTTTAAAAAAGAGTAAACATTATACATGAGAAACAAAGGCTATATTAACTTTATAAGATTAAATTATTTTTAAAAATTCCCATGATATTGGTAAATATTTTAGAAAGGACGCAAATCATAAGCACATTTGGTCTGGGAAATTCCAGAAAGAATTGAAAGTATACATAGAAGCAAAAAATCTACCTGGAATAGTCTGGCAAGTAGAATTTTTAAAAAACAAGACATATGCTGATAAAAGCCGATCTACTATTACCTTCTCCCTCCAGTTATCATCACTCAGCAGCTTCTGTCTAAGGGTTTCCTGCAGCTGCTCCATGTTTTTCTGATGTGAAATCAGCATCAAATTCCTGAAAACCATAAACCCGACAAATGAGTTAAGACTCACCCCAACCCTCCTCCTAAGTTGCAGTTCCTGGCTCAGAAAATATTATTTCACAGCTTAGTCTGCTTATTCATTTAGTCTTTTTATTCTCATATATATATATATATATATAGGTGTGTATGTGTGTGTGCTACTATATACCTTTTTTTTTTTTTTTTTTTTTTTTTTTTGACAGGCAGAGTGGATAGTGAGAGAGAGAGAGAGACAGAGAAAGGGTCTTCCTTTTTGCTGTTGGTTCACCCTCCAAAGGCCGCACGGCTGGCACGCTGCGGCCGGTGTACCACGCTGATCCGAAGGCAGGAGCCAGGAGCGAATCCACCACTCCCATGGGGTACAGGGCCCAAGCACTTGGGCCATCCTCCACTGCCTTCCCGGGCCACAGTAGAGAGCTGGCCTGGAAGAGGGGCAACCGGGACAGAATCTGGCGCCCCGACCGGGACTAGAACCCGGTGTGCCGGCGCCGCTAGGTGGAGGATTAGCCTATTGAGCCGCGGCGCTGGCCACTATATACCATTTAACAATTAACAGGGGCTGGTGCTGTGGTGCAGTGGGTTAATCCTCTGCCTGCAGTGCCAGCATCCCATATAGGTGCCGGTTCTAGTCCTGGCTGCTCCTCTTCAAATCCAGCTCTCTGCTATGGCCTGGGAAAGCAGTAGAAGATGGCTCAAGTTGTTGGGCCCCTGCACCCACATGGGAGACCCAGAAGAAGCTCTGGCTGTTGCGGCCATGTGGGGAGTGAACCAACGGATGGAAGACCTTTCGCTCTGTTTCTCCCTCTCACTGTCTGTAACTCTACCTCTCAAAATAAATAAATAAAATCTTTGAAAAAAAAAAAACAATTAACAGCAATTCTCAAACATTGCATGCAAAGTATTTTTTCAGGCTTAATTTTTGCTTACTTACTAAGTGTCAGTTATTTTTTATTTTGGAAATGGCAACAACATATGCAGAGTCAGAAATATAAAAAAATGTTGTGTGATTCAAAAAAAGTATGACTAAATTCTAACATCAGATAATATTGTTTCTTAAAAAGATGAATATACAAAGGAATATGCCATAAAATCAATATCTATTAACAATTCCTGTTGATTTCTTTTTCTTTTCTTTTACTTATCTCAAACACAGATAGGAACAAACCAAATTAAGTAGGGTAAATGTCAGGGATGTGGTATAGTACAAACAATATTAGAAATTAGAAAAGAAGACACAAAAACACTTTAACATTTTAATCCACATAACTAGTTGTTTGTGATCCTCTGGGTGGAAGTAAGGATGGGAGATTCATAAGAAACTTTCACAGGGGCACTGAAATTATCACTTTAAATACTATGCTTATTGATCAAGTTTCCTTCTCCTTGGCACAGTCATCAAAATGTGCTCACTGATAATCACCATGACTATTTTCTGTGTATGTGATTCCTTTCTATGTCTCACTCCTTCTTCTGATTCCTTCGTTTTCCATCATCATTCTCTTCTTTTTAGCTCTGATCCCTTTTCTTATTTCATTTATAACTGTTAGGAAACTGGTGCAGTTTTAGCCAGGTGGCTGCATGGCCCAGCTACCTGAGCCAGGCTCCACCCCCATCCTAATGGGATTCACTGCTCCTGCTTCCCTGCTCGCCCTCAGGCAAAGTTTTAAAAGGGCCTGTTCCTGCACACGTGCTCTCTCGGTCCTTCTCTCCTGCGCTTTCTTGGCCTCTCTTGGCTGCTCTCCTCCTCTCATCTCTCTTCTCTCTCCTCTGTCTCTCTCTCTTACAGTCTCCTTCTCTTTTTCCTTCGCCGCCCCTTCACTCCAGTCTGTAGGGTGTTCCCCAATAAACCCTTTCCCTTACTCCGGTGTCCGGTGCACTTTGTGACGGCTAACATTAATATATAACAATAACCATCTGTTGGACATCTGCACCCTAATGATCCATTAACACCAAAGATTCCAGACAAGAAAAACCAAACTCATCATTATGTCTTGAAATCTTTCCTTTACTCCTGATTTCTGAAAATCTGCAATGATGAAAACCTTTGGCTGGAAATCCTGGGTCATCTCTGACTACTCCTGTTCTCCTGCATCATCCAGTAGCAGGCTCCATGTATTCTGCTTCCTTCATGTTCCTCAAACTATTTTCTCCTTTCCTTTCCCACTACCAAAAGACTTGCTAAGTTTCTTGACTTTATCATTGTCAATGATATGTAGACATTGTCTATGACTATATATTGTCATAGACAATATTCAGAATTTTTGAGTTCTAGTCTAGTCACACTCAGAATATTATTAAACATTTTCATTATACATTGCCTACATTTCTAGGTCAGAAAGTTTTAATGACATTAACACAAGAACACACATTTGACTAGGTAACCCAGATATTAATACCATTTGAGGAAAATATATTGAAAAAGACAAAACTCTCAAACTTCTGTTTCCAGAAGTATGTCAGACTAAGTACTCTAACAACTTTCCTACTGAAAAATAAATAAAATCCTAGTTAAGATGCAAAGAAAATACCTTAAAGTTCATCAATGTGCTGCATAAAAATTGAGAAATATATGGAGAACAAAACTCAAGTGAAGAACAGATAAAGATTAACAATGGCAAATAGTAAAATATTAATGAAATCTGTAGATTAGTTAATGGTGTTATAGTAATGTTAATTTCTTAGTTTTGAAAGATATACCACAATTATAAAGAGTTGGTTAAATGGAAACAGAAACTCTGTAATATCTTTGTAATTCTTATGTAAATCTAAAATTCTTCCTTTTTTATATTTTTTTTCTTGTTTTTCTTTCTTTATTTTATATTTTTTTAGTGGACAGTGAGAGAGAGAGACAGAGAGAGAGAAAGGTCTTCCTTTGCCATTGGTTCACCCTCCAATGGCTGCCACGGCCGTCGCGCTGCAGCCGGCGCACCACGCTGATCCGAAGGCAAGAGCCAGGTGCTTTTTCCTGGTCTCCCATGGGGTGCAGGACCCAAGCACTTGGGCCATCCTCCACTGTACTCCCAGGCCACAGCAGAGAGCTGGCCTGGAAGAGGGGCAACCGGGACAGAATCTCGCGCCCCGACTAAAATTCTTCTAAACTGCAGCTTAAAAAATGAAGTGAAAGGAAGAACCCTGACAGTAAGCTGTGTACTGAAGCCTTGAAGATACTTTCTGAAGCTAATGAACTTGGCTTCAAATTTCACAGCCATGAAGGGTACAGAAGTGAGAAGACTCTCTTAGAGCCGGACCTCAAAGAATCACACAGGTAGTACATGAGTGGAATTCGAACTGCCCGTTTACATAAAACACAAATAACATCTCCTCTCAGGAGACAACAAGGAAATTACCTGCTTCAAATTTTGTGCATAAGTAGAGGGGAAAATTCTAATCTCCCATGGAATTTGTAAATACAAACGCATGTTTGCATTCTGAATTCACACTACCTAAGTGATCCAAAAAGTTTCATGCTGAGAACTTAATTTAAAATGGTGTAGGGTTCATCTTGCCTCAAGGTGATAGCTAGGAAAAACACCAATATTTTGTTTCCTATAGATAAAGTTTTAAGACTTATGGGTTTAGGGCCAGCACTGTGGCATAGTGGGTAAAGTCACCACCTGTAGTGCTGGCATCCCATATGGGCAACTGGTTAAAGTCCTGGCTGCTCCACTTCTGATTCAGCCTCTGCTATGGCCTGGGAAAGCAGTAGAATATGGCCCAAGTTCTTGGGCCCCTGCACCCGTGTGGGAGACCCAGAAGAAGCTCCTAGCTCCTGACTTTGGATCAGCACAGCTCCAGCTATTGAGGTCATTTGGGGAGTGAACCAGTGGATGGAAGACTTCTCTCTCTTCTCTGCCTCTGCCTCTCTGTAGCTCTGCCTTTCAAATAAATAATTTTTTTTAAAAAAAAAAAAGACTCATGGGTTCATAAGAAAAAAAATTCCCAAAGCCATTTTTCAAAAAGTCAGTAAAAGGAAAAATGAGCAGATACAAATGACAGCAAAACTGATCTCAAATCCCAAAGATATTAAAATTTCAGAGGCAGAATATGAAAAAAGGGTATTTAATTTAACGTATTGGAAAAAAAGAGAAGATTAATTAAAACGATCAGTGAAGTTTGAAAAAGCCAGACTGAACTTGTAGAAATGGGAAAATACAACAAATGAAGCTAAAACTCAGGGGATGATCCATCCTATAGCAGATTATCTTAGCTGAAAGAGAACCAAAAATCTGAAAGGCAATTCAGAGAAATTAAACACAGTACAGTACTGAGAGCAAACAATAAGGCTACTATAAAAGATGAGATATGGAGGGCAGAATGAAAAAATTTCATAAGTAATGAATAGAAAAAGAGGGAGGAAGAAATATCTGAGGGGAATAGTTCAGATTGGTGAAAAACACAAATCCACAAATCCAAGAAGCCCCAGTGGATCCTAAGGAAGATACATAAAAACAAATCTAACATCTGTGCACCCCATAGTGAAAATGAAAAATACAAAGTTAAAAAGATTTAAAAGGTAGCTGGAGAGAAAAGGCAGATTATCTTCAAAGGAACCCAAATACAATGAAAACTATTCTCAACAGAAACAAAGACAGACAAAATACGGCAAAACATGTTCAAAGTCCTGTGACAAAATAATTATCAACCAAAAATTTAGTACCTTGCAAAACTATTTTTCAGAATGGAGTTGAAATAAAGACATGCTCAGATAAATAAGACCTGTGAGTTTACCACCAGCAGGGACCTTAATTAAGGAGCTTCCAAAGAATATGCTTTGCAGGAAGGACTAAGGTCAGACATGCCAGGAGAAGCGGAGAACACAGACACTGGCAAACACAGGCCAGGAGGGGAATTCTGGCCTGGATCAGGGTGGCAGTACAGGGCCCCTGGCTCCGATAGGAACCATGCGCTTCTGTTTTAATGCTCTGTGGCCATCAACCTCAAATCCTAATATTTTACTTTTGAATCTGTGTTTTGTAAGTGAAACTCGATGTAA